TGAGATTTGAGAAATGTTGCTCTGATATAGTCCCCCTCCAAGCAGTTTGTCCGAAATCCAAAACAACTAACTGTGAAAGTTGCCCAATACTCTCTGGAATACTGCCATTCATTGGATTGCCAAATAGGCTTAAATGTTGTAAAGATGAGAAAAGTCTGATAGACTCAGGAATTGAACCCCAGAACATATTCCCCCTAAGGACGAGAGATCTCAAGTTTGTAAGGTTTCCTAGTGCATCAGGCAAATGACCACTAAACCTGTTCTGTGTCAAATCTAAAACTTCCAAGCTGTTCTGTTTTGACAAACCATCTGCGAATTCAATCAGATTGCCGCTGAGGTTGTTAAATGCCAATGTCAGCGATTTTAAGTTTGAGAGATTACCTAAAATTCCTGGTATTGTACCTTCCAAAAATTGATGGGACAAATCAAGATGTTGAAGAGAATGCATATTGGCAAAAGCACTAGGAATGGTACCAATGAGATTGTTAGAGCTAAGAAAAAAGCTTTTAAGGCCAGTAATATTGAAGATCCACCTAGGCATTGGAGAATTAAACAAATTGTTGGACATATCAACTGCTACCAGGGATGTAAAGTTAACAAATGGGAGGAAAAAAGGAAAGGTGGGGAGTTTGCAGCTGGACAAGTATAACTCTGACAAAGAAGGAAGCACGTTAACTTGTTGCAACCAATCAGTCACAGCACTGAGATCAGCCCCTCCCATATCCAAATATTCCAAAGAAGGAAGGCCCCTTAACCATAGAAGGTCAGTGGCATTAAATTTGGAACCTGAATCTGAGTATGAATGAAGATCAAGATATTGCAAATTCGATAAGTTTCCAAGGTGGGGAGGAATAGTCCCACCTAATTCAGCATAAGAAAGATTTAAATAGCTCAGAGTTCTCAAGGAACCTATGAGCTGTGGGATAGGGCTGCCTTCAAAGTTGTTCATACTGAGGTCTAAGTATCTTAAATTCTTCAAGTTAAGCAGGGAGGAATTGATCTTACCCCTTAAGGCCGACTTCTTCTGAGCTGCTTTATTAGTCTGCAACGAGTTTCGAAGATCAAGCTTCGTTACTTGTCCTGTTTCACTATTGCAACTTATTCCATGCCATTGGCAGCAGTCTTCACCCACCCATGAAGAAAGCCTTCCAAAGGGATCTGTGAGACTTTCTTTGAAATCAAGGAGAGCTTTCTTCTCAATATCAGAGCAACGGATATTAAGATCATTAGCATTGCAGAAACAAAGAAAGCATAGAAAAAGCTGAACAAAATTCAGCTTAAGGAGGTGATTACCACTCTTCTTCATGATTGTAGAGGACATTCACAGGTATTGCTTTAGTATAATCTGTTCAATTGATGAACCAGAACATTTTGGTATCAAATCATGGTCTGACTTGCTTAGTTTTCTTCTAAATTTACTGTTTCTTGACTTTTTTGCAGCTAAGCCAGCTAGCAAGCTCCCTTGTCAGACCTTATCAATAAATTAGCCTTTCAAATAAAAAAAAAGCCAGCTAGCAAGCATTCAAGCTTCAAAGTCAAGGTGTAAACGCCCCGTGAAGTAAGGAGTCAAGCAAAACCCCGAGTAAGGACCAGGGAAGAAACGGGTAAAGTTGTTGCCATAACGTATCCAATAAGCAAATGAACATATAAAACAAAACATCTCCATGCCTTTTTCCGGATTCGTTTACCAACTCTGTAAATAAATCATTTCGGTCCCATTCTGCCATACGCAATGTAATCTAAATTTTCAATCTTCATGCTTCCTTCCATGCAACTTCGAACCCCATGAAAACTCTAGAATTCTACCAATACAATGTAATTAATTCAACAGTACTCCTGCTTAATACAATTCCATGTTCCCGCAGAACTGTTCTACTATTCACACTTTTGACTACAGGGAAATCTCAAGCACCATTCCTAAATCCTAATGGAGTCATGGTTGGCAAAAGTAACACTATACTTGCTTTCATATTCTTCCCGTTCTATATGCTTGCACCTTCTTCACATTGAGCCTTGGTCTATTTCTGTATTTACTAATAGAGAATATGATTTCCAAACACTCGTTCATAGTGTTAAGAAAACTTCGCATCCACTGCTGTTTAGGAGAGGAATGGATTGGAGTGGAAGGGGCTCCCACCACACTGTTTCCGCACGTTAAAACGGGCCCTTAGTGAGCTCCCCCATAAGATTACCATGACCGTGACCATATCAAAAGTTCCCCAATTCCTCCACCGTCTAATGATTGGGTTGGGCTCAGCACTGAGTATTGGTTGCTATAATCTAGACAAACCACCAAGTTAGCATTTGGGTCTATAACTCAATATTCATAATGATGGATTCATGCTTTGCTGTATTGGACTAAGTGGGGCAACCTCAATCCTAACCATATCGATGACTTGGGCTCCCGCTTCCCACCTCCTGTAGCCCTTCTTATGTTGGGCTTCGAGAGCGAAAGATAGGTCTGCAGTCTGCACTGAGCTATAGTGCTTGATTCCCATTGTTAGATCATTATTGTGCAAATGTTTCTTTTCTAGGTTTGAGGTTTTGAACAAATTTAGCATAAATCCCATGCCAAAAATCTACCACCTTCTAGGCTTGTTTTGTCCCCTTTCTTCTTAAAAATTTTCCATTTTATATGTTATTTTCTTGGTAAACTAATGCTGGCTTACTAGTCATAACCACAAAGGTTTGTAACATCAGACGGTTAGCTAGCCCAAAGTTGAAATTATGGCACTGAAGACATGGGTATTTTCTTAAAATTTCCACTTGCATGAATCATACACAATTTTCCAAAGGACTATACATATTCTAGGAAGGAAGAGTTTAATTGTGACTTCGACACACATAAAATTGCAGCTTAGACCAGTTGGTCGTGGTCCAACCATATCCCCTTGGAACCACCCACTCGGTACAGCCCATTACTGTGATGGGCCACACATATTCTCTCTCCGGGTGGCAGATGCGTTCATGATAAGTTTCAGCCATTAGATGCAAAAGCAAGTCAATACGTAGGTCAACTTTTTTCTGACAAATTACCTTTTAGTTCAGCGTGTAGCAAACGCTTCTGTATCAAAAGCAAGAGAAGGGTGAGAAAGTTGAGCTTGGGAACAAAAAGGAGGGGACGTGTAGGTGCCTAGCAATCTTGATACTTCACCTATATGATATCCTAAGTTTCAAATTATTCCATTCCAACATTTTTCAATAACTTGGGTTCCTATTTCTTGCACAGAGACAAAGTCAAGTTTGGTTAGATGCAATGGGTGCCCACTTGGACAAGGTGAATGGAATCACAATCTCTCTCTCTCTCTCTCTCTCTCTCCATCTGAAGTCCATTCCACTAAAACCATTAATGTTGGGTAGTTGATTTATGTTTGTTCACAAAGACTTTATAAGGTTTAAAAACTGGAGAGCAAGACATAATCATTCTACCCAAGATGGGTGGTTGGTTGATTTGCACTGAAACAGCTTTGATGGCTGCAATCTTCAAAACCCCATTAATGGAAGGAAAAGGACCCAAAAGGTTCTGTAGGGTTAGAACAAGGGAATTATATTTTAGTGGGAGAATATGATGTGTTCACCCATCTCTGATAACACCCCTAGAAAATTAATACTTTTTATTTGTTCCCTCTCTAATAGGTTCATCCTTATTGGGTTTTGATTGATTCAACCATGGAATAATGATGCCTTAGCTTTACTTCTACTCCACTAACCCTTGTATATATACACACATATCACACTACCAAATCCATATGCCTTGAAAGTAAACCCATGGCAGGCTTTAAACTTCCCAAATAAAGGGCTATATATGCATTGTGGAAGGGTCATGATTCTAGATGTGCGTAGTGCTCTCCCTCTCTCTCTCTCTCTCTCTCCCTCTCTCTCTCTCTCTCAACTTGTCCTTTGCCAGTGGGACCATATCATGAAGGGGAAATGTGTTCTAGGGGGAACAAAAGAAGCAAACTTCAATTTTAAGGTGATGGACCAGTAACTGTGTGCCCCAATCCACATTTAAACAATGTTGCCCCAAAAAATGAAAAAAAAAAAAAAGAATAAAAGAAAGGTTATGATTCACATCTAGGGCCCCATAGCTCTTAATTGGATCCATATTTCATGTTCAGCTTTGTGCACTCCATCCCCCTCAAACCCCACCCAACTGCATGGAATATGGACGGGATAAATCTACAAAATGGACTGCTTTATGACACACCTTTCCATCTCTTTACACAACTGGGACCCATTCCCCTTACATTTTTCATTGTCCTGGACTGTGCCCCCTAATCAAAGATTCAAAGATTAGGGACAAAGACATGGGCCTAGATACTGGGATCCTCTATTTTGTGTCAGATGGGTCCCCTAGCACTGAAAAATACCAATACTAATAGATAAAAAAGGGGTGGGGTTATGTGTCATTTTCGTACTTGTGTCATGACAGAGGGTTGGCAAAACATGTGGGATGAACTCATAGGCAGTCTTGATAGCCTGTTATGTTACTTTCTTCTTGATATGGCCATGTTGTCAAAAAGATGAGCCTTATTCTCTTTGTGACAAAGTTCTCAAAGCATCCACCACCTTTTCTGAAAGCAACAATTCACCAATATATCTCCTATAGCCTCCAACCATTTAATACATTTATATATACGTCTTTTCGTAACAACAATTGAGTGACTGTCGTTCTTCTCCCATTTCATATGCGATCAAATTCAATGCATAAAGACAACTTTTAGAAATTTAAGATTATTTGTTTTGATAAGCTCCCTCTTTATGTCCACACCACTGTTTCAATAACTTTCGAGTTAGTTGGCAAACAAGCAAATTTTCCACCACTCACATACTTGTATATGTAAAGTCCATTAATTCTCTTAATTAATTAAATCTTAACTCTTGAACTCTTTTGTTTAGAGTGACCGATCATTAGTTAACCTTTTAATCTTGGAAACAAGAACATTTATCATATGGTACATGAATCCTTTGAATCTAAGTCTTGTTGCTAAACTACTTAATATCTTAATCTCAATCCCCTAACCTTAAGCAAGAACCTAAAAGGAGTTTTGAACTAAAATTCAAGGATATGTACATCTCCCAAGTTCATTTTCACTACACAACCACAATTTCTTATGCATTGCACGTTACCCCCACTGATTTATAAATGTGTAATCAAGCAAAAGTAAATGACAAAATTCTTTGTCTGTTGAGTGCATCTTTTCATCAAAGGACATGGTGCGTGGTGCATGGAGCTTGAGTCTAAAACTTTTTCCCACCTTAATGTGTGTTATGATTGAGAATAGAAAAGAAAGTTTTCTTGGGAGAATGGGCAAGGCCCACATGACATGAAGATGGGATTCTATATATGACATGAGGAGACTTTATTTTTTAGTTTTATTTTTTGGTTTTGATTTCACTTTGGTCAAGATGGCGAGAATACCGCAAATTCAAACTTGTTGTGCCTTAGTTTATTCACATTTCTTTTTCTTCTTTATAGTATTATTTTCTTGTCAATCAAGAGCGAAGACTGAAGTAGACATGAGGGTGGTTGGCCCCTTTTTGTTTAGCTAGATTTTTAATTTCCTTTGAAGTGATATAAGATAACAAAAGAATCAAGAGATGAGATTAGACATATATATATCTCATACATTGCACAAACCAAGCAAAACAATCCACGAGAAGTACACAATTAATTTAGTACTGATGAGACACCCTTTTCACAACCCTAAGAAATTTTACATCATTGACGAAACTTTGTAACAATCACAACAAGAACCAAATATTTGCATTAAAATGGAATATTCCCTTTTTCTTTTTTTATTTTTTTTAACCAAAAAGGAATTTGTCAACTAGAAGATGATCATCCTGGGGTTCGTCATGGGCGGCAAGTTGGTGCACCATGTAACTAACCCAATTGCTTAATTAATCACAAATGCATGACGAATTAATTAAGATCTTATTCAAGTATTTTTTTAAAAAAAAATTGATGATATAGTTAAACTTCATGTTTTTAGTGCATGAACTTGATTAAGGCCATCACTAAAACTTCTCAATACCATTGATAAAGATTAAAGATTCGTTTCTGTCAGCTAGTTGCGGTCCTTCTCTGAGGGATACATTTATATCAAAGAGAATATCAAAACCAACTGGGACACTGAAAAATGCCTTGATTGGAATATTTGTAGTCATTGTTGGGAAAACTAAAGTTATTTTGGCACATCCTTGGAATTGGTCTTTCCCTAATACCAGCAAGTTGGATATTGTGGGTATGAATTTTGTAAGGGTGGATACCTGTGATTCCATCCATTTCACCAGGCCAATATACATGAAAAGAATACAGAAGAATTTAGAACATCACTTTCCAAAAATTATTAAATGAACAACGAAAAGAATACACATAAGGAGAATACAACATTATGAAAATTATTAACTTTTGTTGATTACATGATTGTTAAATGTAACACCCCTCCACCAAAA